ACTGCATGTGCTGCTTATAATGATTCATGCAACATATGCTCATATTCACAAAACAGATAAATATCATTAAAAACCCAGGGAAATACAAACACTGATCTTTTAATAAAAGCAAACCTACTATAATTAAATTATGTTAAATTGTACAGGTACAGTTATAATAAATAAGGTTACCAAATAAATATAATAAAACATATATTGAGTCCATAAAGCAGAAATCTCTGAGCATCTCGTTTGACAGTCGCAAACCCGTTGATCTTATAAATAAGTCAGAACAAATTAAATTCTCCGAAAATGTACAGTATTGCACATTTGAGTCGTTTATGATTGAATGAAGATCCCCGTGGATTTTGACTAACCACTGACGCTGAACCGCATAAATCAACAGAAGAAAGAATCTCTGCGTTGTGTCTTGATGAATTTCCACACAGAGGTACGCAATAATGTAAGGACGATGTTTTCTTTTGTCTTTGATATACCACTTTCCGCTATTTAATTTGAAAAACATTAATTATATCAATCTAGGCAAGTTTCGTCTTAAAGTTTCCCATCACAATGCGAATGTCGTAAAAGCCGGAAGTAAGCATGCTCACACTCATGTCGCCGAAGTTCACCGACGCCATCTTGAACAACTAGCTAGTGATGATGGGCGCTTTTGAAGCACTGCTTCGTGAAGCTTCGAAACCTTTGCAAATAATTTGTTTCGAAAAAGTGGTTCGGAGCGCGTATCAAACTGCCAAAGTCAAGTGATTTCAGTAAAAGAGGCTTCGTTACGTCATAACTGTTTCAAAACGTTTCGAAATTTCAATAGTTTGCCGACAAGGGGCGATGATCTCTGTGAACCCGTGAATCATGTCAGTTCAATGAGATCTCCCTCTAGCGGTGAACCACTGAACCAAAAAAATTCTATGGTTTTTATACGATCTGATCAGTTTGATCAATCAATTTGTAGACATTCTTAACTAGACATTTGTGTAATTAAAAGGATGGAAAGTAGTTAATAGTCTATTATTGTCCTGTTTAGACAAGCCCTGCAAATTAATGTGAAATATAAAAAAACACACATTATACAGACACTTCTTATTTAATCGTATTTAATTATTTTATTGCATTTAATGTATTATACTTTAAAGGGGTTATATGATGTTGCTAAAAAGAACATTATTTTGTGTATTTGGTGTAATGAAATGTGTTTATGCGGTTTAAGGTTAAAAAAACACATTATTTTCCACATACTCTACATTATTGTTTCTCCTCTATGCCCCGCCTTTCTGAAACGCATCGATTTTTACAAAGCTCATCGGTCTGAAAAGCGAGGTTTGCTCTGATTGGCAAGCTATCCAGTGCATTGTGATTGGCCGAATACCTCAAGCGTGTGACGGAAATGTTACGCCCTTACCATACTGTGATGCCGTCTCCCGGCACGACCAGATAAAACCAATAAAACCCATTACAAATGAGGCATTTGTTGCATCCAGTGGGGACATAATTACGGATTATAATGTTATAATTGTAATCCGTAATATAATTATAACATTATACTATCTTTTTACGCGCTGTGTAGCATCGCGCTGCGTAAACATAAAACCATGTCTGCATTTGTGATCGGAGAAATGATAAACAACATGCGCAACTCTACACTGCTCAAAACTGGCGTTTGAATCGTCAGTGGCAAATCCTTTAAATAAAAACTTACTTACAGTCTGTGAGTCAGAACAGCCGCCATCGTTGTCTACTCTACCAGGATCAGGAAACAGTCCTCCATAAAATGCACTGGACACATCTGAATATTTGGACTGAACTGTTCTGGAACAGTGTTGTAAATACAACTTAACCACTGATTTCTAGTCGTGACCATTTTTGGAAGGCCAAATAAAGTAGTCTCGCTTTCACAACGAAACACAGCGTCACACACGGCGG